GGGTTGGGTATTGAATAATTGGAGAATGCGATTTTTGCTGGCCTGGGAAGCGGTTGTTTTGGAGGCGCTGTAGACCTTGAAGCTGATCGAATTGTCCGGCAGGGTGTACGGGTTGGTGGACTCTGACAAGTAGTTCTGCTTGGAAAATTGGCTCGTCCGGGTCAGCGGTGCGTCCTTCATCAGTCCGACGTGTGTTGTTTCCAGTTTTCCGACGGATGATGCTCGGGCGGTCAAAAATTCGGTGCAAATCCGTTTCCTCCGCCGGCTCCCAGAAGAGTTGGTTGACTAATGATTGACGTTCGTTGTGCGGGGTCGGCCTTCCGCCGAAGATGGAAGGATCGTGTAGCAACAGAGCTCGTCCGTTGCAGGCATCTTTGGAGACAAAACAAAACAAAAACAAGAGCTGTTAAAATATCGGGTTGCCAAACAAGGCATTATTCACAAGCAATCAAAAGTCAGTTCAATGACTTCTTGGCTCTGCCGGTACAGCCATAGAGGTAACTCTAAGACTAGAAGGTCCCGAAGAAACGAGCTCAACTTTTTGGCTCAGCTCTGGTACTCTCTTCGGTCCCAAGCTAATCGATTCACCCCTCGAAACATAGAAAAAACCAATAACCCCTCATTTTATCTGTCAAACTTTCATAGCGAAACAAAACAAACATTGCATAGTACTAGAATTTCGACTAAAATGGGGTACGTTAATCGTTTGCTTAGGACCAATAGGCTAGTCAAGTAGTGAGTCAATTTAAAATCGTTAGTTTCGTATTGATTGTTGGTACAGCTGCGGCACACTGAGGTACACTGAGAAAAAAGTTGGTGCAAAACAAGTGTGTAGAGTGACCACCCCTTGCCTCCACTCCACACTAATGGCCTCGATGATAGAAGTGCGGATGTGGGGCAGAGTGCAAAACTTGATTCCCTTTCTGACGATGATCGCTACACCACCACCCCTGGAGCGGGTGCGATCAAGCCGGATAATGTTGTGATCAAGCAACCAGAAGCTGTCGCCGGACTTTAGATGGGTCTCGGTTAGAAGGCCCACGTCGATGCTGTGCTTGCGGAGGAAGTCGGCAAGCTCAATCTGTTTTGCTTTTACAGAGCAAGCGTTCCAGGTAGCGATGGTTAGCGGTTTAGACACCATACTGGATGATGAACTTACCGAGCACTTGGATCTGTTCGGGTTTATTGCGGCACTTACCAAGAGCACCGGACATGTTGACGAAAATTTCCATCAGTTCATCCGCTGAGAACAGATCGGGATTATTTGGTTGAGCTTTTGGTTGTCTCCAGAATCCAAGGGGGGGGGGATGGAGAGCTTTGTCCAGCAGAAGATCCAGACGTTTCTTGAGGAGAGGCGGATCGCACCCTTGGATTCGCTTGTCCATGAAGGGGCGGAAAGTCCTCCGCTCTGAAAACCGGGGCCTTATCCTTCCTTCGTGCTGTTTGCTTGTTGGTGGATGCCTGATTTCGGATGCGCTTGAAATCCTCGCGTTTAGGGCACTGCTTGTTGGATCCTTGGTGAGCACCACCACAGTTGGCGCATTTTAACGCCACAGCTCCATCCGCAGGGCAGTCGGAAGTGGCGTGGTCTTGAGCGCAATTGCCGCAGCATGGCTTAATGTTGCAGTTGCGGGTGCCGTGTCCAAAGTTCAGACATCGTTGGCACTGAGTCACATCGCGATGGCCGCCACGGTATGGCTCCCAGCGGACGATGATGCAATTGATGGAGCGTATGGCTTTCAGTGCGTTAAGCGTCACCGTTCCTTTCTGGAAGTGTACCAGGAAAAGGCAATCCGGATACGCCTTCACATTCTCGTCTCTTCTTGTCATCCGATAGACGGCACTTTGGGCCAGCTTGTACCGGTCCCTGATTTCAGCTTCCATAAACTTCGGGTCGAAGTTTGGTAGGCCCCTGATGACGACCTTGAATGGCTTCTCACCGGGAATGTCGTGGGTGAAGAATTCCGCCTTGGAAGTCCTCAGGTGGGCGACGACCAAGTCATACTCCGCTTTGGTACGGAGCACCGCCTTGGTGCCGACTCTGCCCAACTTGTATTCGGCTTTAACGCCCAGCGTCGCTAGATCCGCGATGAGCTCATTAAGATGAGCATTTTTCACTACCAATGGAGGTAGCTTCACTTTTGCCGCACTCGGACCGTCTGTCTTCCAATCACACGATGCGACCGACACTACTGACGACGCGAATAAACGTTTGGAATAAATTGTAGAAGAACTCGACAGAGCGAGCAAACACCGGACTGAACTTCTTGACGGACAAGCAGAGAATGATGAGGGTCGGCTCGACGACACCCATCTTATATAGTGGCTGCTGACACGTAATTGGTTAGTTGTAGTATCCAATCAGGTTGCAACACGTGGTGGTAACTTCTAGAATTTTTCATGCGAGTTGTGCTTCGCTAGGATGTTGACAAAATGAACCATCAACCGGGTTGTTCGATCTTTGTCATGGTTGGAAAATTCTGAGCCCTCCACGGATACGGTGAACTAGTTTGAGCTTTGGTGAGCTTCGACATGACGATAACGTGCTTGATGACGGTAGCTCACAATGCTTTCTCACGATGAGCAACTGTACCCAAACAGTGACAGTGTGGCTTCATCACTGTTACTCTGTCTAGAGCGCTCTTGCAGGCAGCCTTGGCAGCAAGCTGCTTGTGGAGCCTTTCGAATACGTCTGAAGCTCGAAAGGAAGTGCGGTTACGGCTTGATTCGTTTGGGACCAACTATGTGATGTCTTTGTTAGGAAATACACCTTATGGTGTAAACAAATGTATGGGAAATTTTGATGCTACAAGTTTAGTAAATTTTTTTAGTTTTTTAACCATTTGAACTATTTGTACTATATGCCACAAAATTGCTGGAGTAAGCCCCCGTCGAATGGCATATTGCATGACATATTTCAAACTAATGCTTTGGAGATATATGCGTTCAAAACCTGACCCTTTCGTTACATGCTCATTTTTCGTACTCGCAAAGTGTACCCCCATATAGAAAACAAAGACGTAGTCCTACGTCAAAACATCCGGGGAACTGTTATTCATAAAATATCACTGAAGACCCCGCAATGTCCCTGAAATTTTCGGAACGTTCCTGAAATGCACTTCGGAACTCTTTGAAAGTTTTTGCAATATTGCTGAAGTTATTGGGGCTGTTTTGAAGTTCTCTGATCATCCTCGAACAACTCGGAACTTCACTGATTATAATGAAACTACCTAAAAATCACTTATCTTCTTTGAACGCCTCTGGGACATTCTTGAAACTGTTGGAAGTTCTTAAGTGCTCTCACAATTTGGAATGGAACATCAGTATTGAAGTATCGTATCGCTAAAAATCTGCTATTTATCAACTTTATTTAGATGAACATGTCATTGAGACAGTACTAATGGCTACTTTAGGTCCCTATTGAAAATTTAGACAGTTGCTGAATTTATGTATGGACCTAAATTAGGGGCATTTAGGACGACATTACATCAATTTCCCCTATATAAATAAATTTAACAGTTCAGCTCAGTGCGGTCGAACTCGGCGGTTGAAACAACAGCAGCCTCTTGCGATTTTATCTATTTTACCCTCAATTTTACCGCAATAGCCAACAGGCATGTGTGACCGGTCAACCAAGCCAACCAACTACCCATAATCACATATTAGTCCTTGCTTGATTTCCTCTAAACATGGTAGCATTTTTTTCTGTTTAAATTTCGCATCTAAATTCATAAAACGCCAAAATCCGCTCTCACCAATTTCGGAAACATATCTTTCGTGAACGTTGGGTTGCCACCAATCCGAACAAAACAGTCCATTTGATGTTTCGCTCCAAATGCCACCTGTGTAATGATTAAGTCATGGGAGAAACCGAAAAGATTGTATAATTTAAAAACTGAAAATAATTTTCCACTAGGTCATCGTTCATATGGATCTGTGAGACCGAACAGCACATGTGAATGTGAACACTAACTAACAACTGTTATTAACTCTATTCTGACCTTGTATTTTTTGTTGTTTTACGTACCGCATAAGAGGATATAGAAACTGATGACATCTTGTACTATTCATTTGATGATGTTTGAAAGAAAAATGGAAACTAAAGAGGGTCTAGCGAGGAGCTGGTTTTGAACCAAACAAACTGTCAAAGCCAGGGCCAATCGAGAATATTTCTCCCACGATCTCGAAGCCAACAAGCCACTCTAGGTTGTCCTGCGTGGCCTCCCGGACATGGATAACGACACACTGTCGGATGAATTGAAGGCGAACGGCCTCAAACTGGTACATGTCTCCAAGATGGCTCGTTGCCAAGGCAGTTTGTTTTGAATCGGCGCCCCTCTTCTACTAAATAGACCCTCTTGACATAAAACGATGGCTGCCTACCTCCAAAGATGGCCTGGGAGAAATTGCATCCTTTCACGTTGCCACGGGCAACGCATCGTCCCACTTGCGTATGTTTACCCATGAAGTTATCATATTTTTACGATTTTTACACTTGCACTCCTCGGACCTGCTCCGTTGTGCCTATGGCTACCTGTTTATGAGTCGTCAGGTATTCGATCCGATCGACTCAAACTTCGATTATGCAATCCCACCGACCGCAATACAAGTCGCTCAAGTTCCGTCACGTCTGCCGCGAGCGACCGAGAAAACTCGAACGCGGACCACCATAAAAACGTAAACAAATGAGTTGATCAAACGGCTTACTTTTTGTTTGATGTTGTGATCAAGATGATGATCGTAAATGCCATCGCGATCGTCTCTCACGCACTCCAGTCAAGGACGGTCACTTTTCCGTTCCGTCTCTTTCTTTTCACCTTTTCCTCGTGTGGAAGGGGGAAAGCAAGCGAGTGGTGAGGGGAGACGCTTCCGCATAAAAACACTTTCACTGATGGAGAGCCAAATCGATCGAAGAATTCATTTCATTACGATTCCCTGTATGTACTGCATCCAAAAATGCAAACGCCTAAATGTATGCTTCCATTCTCGCTCTTTTGCAGACACTGAAATCGATCAACAACAAGATGCAACGATCTACGTTCACCTTCATGCTGCTGATGCTCGCGATCCTGGGGGATCAGTTGATCGGCAGCGCCTACGGAGGACCGGCGCAGATGCAGCAGATGCGCTTTCGACCGCGATATCCCCGGAGGGATCCTTCCTACCTGTCGGCGTACAACATCCACAAAACGTTCAAGGCACGGGACGTCAACGATCTGGACGCGCAGCAAGCACGCAAGGCCATGGTTGATGTTCAGCAGACGATCGCCGAGGTCCAACGATTGCTAGCTCAGGACCCTACGCTCCCGAGGTTAACCAGGTGGGTTGTGCTTTCCGCATCCTTGGTTTGACTACTAACACTTTTATTTAACCTATTTCAGGGGAGAGATCGAAGAGCTATTCGAGAATGTGACCCGCGAGGAGTTGGCAAAATCGCTCCGCGAAGGCGATCAGACCCGTGCACAGCACATGCGAGCACTGATGTTGGTCCTGCCATATCACACCAACAACATGAACCCGGAAAACCTTCAAAACTTATACACGCTTCCCCCGGTGACGAAGTTAGTCCCGAACGAGATAGCTCCGAAGAAGAATCCCGGAAATGTCCCAACGAGAGAGCCATCGCAGATGCCTCCAACGAAGATGATCGTCACTACAATGCGGCCTACTTTTAAGCAGCGAACTCCGGTCGAAGAACTGACGCGCCCATTGTTGACGACGCCCGTTCCAATTACAACGATTCGATTCACCACCCACAAACCGACTACGTTCCATCCGGCGCTGCCAAATGTGATCCGAGACGAGGTGAAACCATCCCAAACGAAGCTCCGAATTGCAACGACCAGTGAAGCGCCAGCCGAGTTCGTCACGCAACCAATTGAACCGGTTAGTGCTGACGCACCTATCAGAGTGGAACTCCCGATTGCCACCACGGAAGCCGTCAAGAACTCTGAGATCAACGACATCCTGGCATCGCTCGGCTTAGGAGACGGAGTTCTTCCCACTTTCAGACCGCTTCCCCTGGAGATGACCTCCCCATTCGAACTGACTACGGAGTTCAACGTTCCGCAGGTAGAAGACCCCGACAATGCGAATGAAGAGCTCAAGATACTTCTGCGATCGTTCGGTCTGCTAAACGACGGTGGCAACTCGGTTGGAATCAACCCAATCCGAGTTGATCCGCTTTATCCGGAAACCTTATCGGATGTCCAGCCCTCCCATTTGATCCAAGACGAAGGCCTGAAGGTTGAAGAACTGGAACCCTCCGCTCCGGCGATGACCAAACCGGACATCAAACCAGATGACTACGTTGCCTTCAAACCCCTGCCTAGCGACGTACCTAACTTGAATGAAGATCTTGATCAGTTGTTGAAGTCCTATGGAATTCTTGACAACGGCGAGCGGAAAGAGAAATCCATCAACACGGAATCGAGCACCAGTGCCGCCAGCTTGGGAACAACCGAGATGGAAGGATTGCCCATGATCGATAAGGACCTGGTCGTGCCGCAGATGGCTTCCATTCTGGACAACTTGGGCATCCAAACCATGAAGAAGGAGCGCAACGGTCGCAAGCTGGATATGAAGAAGGAAACCAACGGAGTCGAGTTAAAATCCAATGGGGTTGCCTTCCGTCTGAAAAAGAAGCAGGAAAAACCCGAAAAGGTCGTCAACGAAGATTACCGCAAGCTTGAACAACTATGGGAAACGATCCGAGAACTAGAAAAGCTCAATCCCAACATCACCGAAGAGTCGTTGGAATCGCTAAACCTGAAGAACTTCAACTTGAGCGACTCCCTTCTAGCTCAGGGACCGAACCCCCTGGAGAGCTACGACTACACCCGCAGCAACGACATCAAGAAGCGCCAACAACCGACCACCGAGGATACCCCGACGCGAATCTCGCTGGATCTAGCCATAAACTCAAACTCTTCCACTGAAAACAGTACTTCCAACCAGGTCGAAATCATCTCCACCACTACCGGAGAACAGCCGCGTAGCACACTGCTGGATGTGGATTCGGAAGCGGAAGCACCAAGCTCAACGACCACGGCCACTTCGACGACCACCATGGAATCATCCAGCAGCAGCAGCAGCAGCACCAGCAGCAGCAGTAGCTCGGACGGCTCGGCCCGTTTCACTGCGCTGGAGGAATCGTTCGGAGGGGGAGCGGACCCGGTTGCACAGGAACCGCTGCCAGCGCCACGGAGAAACGGATTCTACTTCCTGGTTGATTGGAACTCGTTCCTGGAGGTAGGAGAAGACCCCAACAAGGTAGTGATCAATTTTCGACCGCAGACAGGCGATCCTAGCCGGTTCCTGCCGGTGAATGTGCCGTAAATTTTCCAATTGTTTAAGGGGTGTTAGGGCGTAGATTTCTAATCGGCAGCAACTGCTTCTGACGCAAAATGGTGGCAGAGGTGAAGTTTTTTTTTGGCATTTTTTAAGGTAAAAATAAGCATGAGAAAAATTCCACAAAGAGAAAAAGGAAGAAGATTTTATTAGTAATTTCTCGGTAAGAAGCAAAGCTCTTCCATACACAAAATACAGACAAGCGATAACGATTACGATTTTTAGAAGGAAGGGTCCAATTCTTTCAGTTCTATTTTCCTACCCATTTTTTTCTGTACATAGGTAACTTATAGAACTCGTATTTATTTGTAAATTTGCTAGGAAACTAGATAAACTAGGGGTGACAAACTGTACCAGAGTGGATGCAATAAATATATGTAGGTGAAATGAGGTGGTTAGTGATTTCACTTTGGAAAAAAATTGAGAAAAACTTGTATATTTTCCGGTCCGAGATTCCGGAGTCTTTCTGAGATTCTATAAACTGCAGTGAGGTTTGTTGTGCTTCTGCAAATTGCACTGCCTTTCTCTTAAGACCACAGATCTTCTTTGAAAGTCATGAAATTTATCAAAAATGTGCAAGACATCCCTGGAGAGCAGCAAACTTCTATTGAAGTTCTCAGAACTTGTCTCAAGTATTTGAGAGCTCGTGACTGGTGTATACAAGAGACTGTCGTGGGGATTTTCGACTTATTCAGGCCCTTATTACGTGACGTGAAGTGACATCGGTAATAAGGGCCTCAGTCTTCTAAAGCAGCAAAAACGTTGTATTGTCTCAACTCTCCTACGTTTCGGGGTTTTAGAAGCTACGTTTTTTTGTTGGGTTAATGTGTAGTTCTTCTGCTCTCCTTAATGGTGTCCATCTACGATATGCACGTTCCCACAATTTTGTGCTCCCCTGTATTTTTAAATGTTCGCTTAGTTTTTAAAACACTACTAAAATTGTGAAGGTCGTGTCTTCAAGTGCGAAACAGCACAATTCAACAAGCGTTCCAATCAACCGAAACGTCGGAGAGTTGAGGCAATACAACGTTTTTGCTAATTTAGCAGACTGAAAGACGCGGATAAACAAAATGTTGATTATTCTTTTCTCGCCAATTGAACGCAAATAACCAGCATCATCGGATAGGGAAAACTTTCCCCAGCCCAAAGATGGTGTTAGTTTGCGTAGGCGAGCCTTGAGTCACGAGAAAAGGGTTTCCGAAGTTTTGTTCGCAATAGCTGATGTGCTCTTTTCTGTTGTTGGTCGTGATTGGTTCCGCTATTTGACAGCTCAATTGGTTCCCGAGATTCTATCCGCCAGACTATGAATATAGCGACTATAGTTAATCTGGCAGTCACTGACAGCTTGGTAGCCGGCACGGTGCACCTAAAGAGCCTAAATTTAGGCTCTTTAAGTGCACCAATCTAGGGGCTGCTAGCCAGAAATTTTTCTGTTGTCTGCTATTTTTCACCCACACACTTAAGGGCCACCCACATTAGATCCGTTTGCGTTGCGTTGACGTAAAATTGACAGCTAGACAATAGATTTAGCTGTCACTTTGCCGCAACGCGTCCGATCCGGATCTAATGTGCGTGGGCCTTTACAATCAACGCAAGGACTACTGAGGCATACAGAAGGGATCGCAGTAGGCCGCGCTTGGCAGCTGACGTTTTTCTTGTGCTGCGTATTTTTCGTCAGCGCATTAAACATTGTTTTAAATTTGTTAATTTGTGTGCTGAAATTAAGTTTCGAGTGTTCATAAAGTATCATTTCTGGCATAACATTTAATAACGGTGTTGCGAAAGTTGCGTCCACTACCAGGGAGCTCACAACGAGCTTTTTGGTGTGGAGGAGAGTGGCGGGTAATAATAAAAAAAAAAAAAAAAACGGCCCATATTCAGAACTTTGGGTAAATTATAAGCACAGACAAACAGACATAACACTCGCAAGTTCTTCGTCGAACAAGCATTTAACGCTCATTGGAGGCTACTCGTTCAATGAGGCCGATGAAGCACTCCTCGTATTTCCTGCCTGAAATACGATCTAAACTGAGTGCTTTATCTGACTGCTCCTATACTATCACCTTAGCTTGGGTCCCATCTCATTGCTCAATTCCGGGTAATGAGAAAGCGGACTCATTGGCTAAGGTGGGCGCTATAGAAGGCGATATTTTTGAGCGACAAATCGCCTTCAACGAATTTTTCTCCATTGCTCGCCAGCAAGTCCTCATCAGTTGGCAACAAAAATGGAATGATGGTGAATTGGGAAGATGGTTACATTCTATTCTCCCACAGGTGTCGAACAAACCATGGTTCAAAGGGTTGGACATGAGCCGCGACTTTATACGCGTTATCATCTGAGTTATCCACATCCCTCAGGGCCCGAGGAAAACAACCCGTGATACCCGTTAGAGATGTCTTGGCGAGCCGAGACCGCGACTATTTGAATTTAATTTATGTGTTTCTAAAACGGATAGATTTGAGGATTTAGAAGTTAGTGTCATCTTGTGTTCTCCCAAGTTGTTAGCTACCCATCGGTGTACCCCCATTTTTGTCTTTTTCATCAGAGTGTCGCCTAGTTCGAGATCAAGAGCACATTGCTCTCCAAACCTTGTGTTCACAATCCCTACCCTGCCATCCATTTGTTACAATTTGTTACCCCTAACCTCGAGATAGCCGCGAGTAATCGGCCCCCGCTTTACTAACGTTAGTTTTAAGTAATTTTGTTATCTAAACAATGAATATCGGCTCCGCAAAGCTACAGCAAATGTGCCTGGAAAAATAAACGAATTATTAAAAAAAAAGCATTTAACGGTCAATTCAAAAGTATCGTAGTTGGTAGTAACGCCACCTGTGGCGCGCATAGTCAATTCCCTTGCGTTTGACGTTTACAAACTACCGCCATCTGTTCAGCGGACTACCTACCACAGTGTACTCAACAGATGGCGGTAATGTTTTAGCGACGATGTTTTACATTGAGAAACATTCAATGTGTTATGTCTGTTTGTCTGTGTCATAAGTATTAGTGCAAGAAAACCTTTGAATTTACCCAAAGTTCTGCACTAATACTTGTGCAATTCACAAACGTCAGAGAAGTCTATAGGCCATAAGTTTATAGAGCTTTATTTTAGTGGGAAAACAAACCGTCCATTCATCCATGTGTGCTAGATAGAGAAAAACGATAAAACGTCAAAAAGGTCTATAGACTAGAAATACTCAGAGGGAGAGATGGGCGGAGAGAATGTTTTGAGCCAAATGAACTGTCAAAATCTGAGCCAATCGAACATTCCCATTAGATTTTTTTCGAGGATTTCTTATTCTTACTAGAATAAATTTGAGAGTATTGCAATCGAACAGAAATTCAACAACCTTTATTTTTCGTGTGTTTCTCAAATTCAACTAGTTTTTATAATCAAAAACAATATTCTAATTCTATTGATAAATTGATCTTTGTTGGTTAATGAATGGCACCAAGAAATGTGCAAAATATTGCGATGCAATCAATTATTATTTTGCACGTAAATCGAATCAAAAATAAATGTCATGTGAAATGCTAGCTTCTATCTCTCCTTCTGAGTATTTCTACTATAGACCAGTTCAGGCATAACATTTTATAACGGCACAAAAGCATTTGTAAACAAACTTTCTAAGGCCCTTTACACGCGAACCAAAGTACGCCCACGCAAACCAATACCACTTTCGGAAAGGTGATAGCCCAAGTAACCAACGAGCCCGATAATCGCCCTTTTTGGTTTGTAAGGCTGCTATACGATTGATATAAAGTTCGGAAATCCTATATTTACCTTATATCGCAAAAAGGGCGATTATCGGGTAGTTAGCGGGCTTGGTGGTTACTTGGGAGTTGCCCCTATCCGATGATGTTGTTGGTTTGCGTGGGCGTACTTTAGTTCGCGTGTAAAGGGCCTTAGAAAATTTGTTTACAAATGCTTTTGTGCCGTTATCAAATGTTATGCCTGAGTTAAGAGGGTACTGTCAAATTTGTGAAAATCTCATGGTGAAAACATTTCCGGAGAACTTAAACATTTGGGCGTAATTGCTTTTGTGAACAAACGCGTCAATCGCCGATTGATCGCGAATAAAAGCTCAATCTCGCAAACAAACTATACCAAATGATAGAAGAGGCATTCCTCTACCTGTTTGTGTTGTTAGTTTTCGATATTGAGATTTAATTCGCGTGAAAACGGCGAATGACGTGTTTGTTTACAAAAGCAATTACGCCCTAATCTCGAAGTTCTTCAAAAAATTTGATGTCAGTCCCTTGGCACCAATGCTCATCGAAGACGACAGCAGTTGTCGTTATTCAGGATAACGACGGCAATAGGATGCTTTTCGATTCAGGATCGGAGAGTAACTTTATCACCGAACATCTCAGCCAGCGTTTAAAGGTTTCTTATAGCAAGGTGGATATCTCGTTTCTTGTCATTGGTCAGACAGCATCCAAGGTCAAACAAAGGATTGTGGCAACGATCCGTTCCCGGCGGTCGGAGTTCTCGCGCCTGATGGCCTTCCTGGTGGTTCCGACGGTGACAGCCAACCTCCCAACCGCTAACCCATTCCTTTCTAGATCAGCATTCGGACGTGGCCGGCGCTGGTATTGCCTACACGGTGTTTCGCGAAAACCCTTACTTACCTTACCAATCAGGCTAAGGCCTTGTTGTCCTCTGCTGTCCGAAGAAGTCGTCTCCACTCTACTCGATCCGTGGTCACAGTGCGCCAGCCTCGTAGTCTGCGAAGGGTCCGCAGGTCACCTTCTACTTGGTCGATCCACCTTGCCCGCTGCGCGCCTCTTATTCTTGTTCCTGTTGGGTCGCTTTCTAGAACCATTTTCACTGGGTCGTCGTGTGGCATTCTTACGACGTGTCCAGCCCACCGTAGTCGCCCAATTTTTGCAATGTGGACGATGGATGGTTCTCCCAGCAGCTGGTGCAATTCGTGGTTCATTCACCTCCTCCACGTTCCGTCATCCATCTGCACTCCACCGTAGATGGTACGCAACACCTTCCGTTCGAAAACACCAAGGGCGCGTTGGTCCTCCACGAGCATAGTCCAGGTCTCGTGGCCGTAGAGGACTACCGGTCTGATAAGCGTCTTGTAGACAGTCAACTTCGTGCGGCGGCGAATTTTATTCGACCGGAGCGTCCTCAGGAGTCCACGATTCCCTGCCATAATGCGTCTTTGAATTTCTCTGCTGGTGTAATTTTCGGCGGTCACCAGTGATCCCAAATACACGAACTCATCGACCACCTCGATTTCGTCACCGTCAATCTGAACTCGGGGTGGGAGGCTAACATTGTCTTCCCTAGAACCTCTTCCTTTCATGTATTTTGTCTTTGATGCGTTGATGGCAAGTCCAATCCGTCTAGCTTCAGTCTTCAGTCTGATGTACGTTTCCGCCATCATCTCAAAGTTGGATGGACTTCCTGAATATCGTACCACTCGTGTCTATCCCAGCTCTTCTGATCACACCTTCTAACGCGATGTTGAACAGCAGACACGAAAGTCCATCACCTTGCCGTAACCCCCTTCGAGATTCAAAGGGACTCGAAAGTGTCCCCGATACTCGAACAACGCACATCACTCGATCCATCGTCGCCTGGACCAATCGCGTCAGTTTGTCCGGAAGTCCGTACTCGTTCATAATCTGCCATAGCTGATCTCGATCGATTGTGTCGTATGCGGATTTGAAATCGATGAACAAATGATGTGTTGGCACGTTGTATTCCTGTAGAACCTGCCGAATCGCAAAAATTTGGTCCGTGGTAGCGCGGGTACCCATGAAGCCCACCTGGTATTGCCCCACGAACTCTCTTGCAAATGGTGACAGACGGCGGCATAGAATTTGGGAGAATACCTTGTAGGCGGCGCTCAGCAGTGTGATCGCGCGGTAGTTGCAGCAATCCAACTTGTCGCCCTTTTTGTAGATTGGGCATACGACACCTTCCATCCACTCCTCCGGTAATATCTCCTCCTCCCAAATCTTGGCAATTACCCAGTGCAGCGCTCTAGCCAGTGCTTCACCACCGTATTTCAATAGCTCACTTGGAAGTTGATCTACACCAGTTGCTTTGTTGTTCTTCAGCCGACCGATCTCCTCCTCAACTTCTTGAAGATCAGGGGCCGGTAGCCTGTCGTCTTCTGCGCGTGCTCCAAGGTCTGTTGCCGTGCCACCTTCGTTTTCTGCTGCTTCACCGTTGAGGTGCTCGTCATAGTACTGCTTCCACCTCTCAATCACCTCACACTCGTTCGTGAGAAGGTTACCGTCCAAGGAACTATTTAGCTTCTCATAGAACTTCCGTGTGTCGTTTACGCGGTACAGATTTTCCATCGTCTCGCGATCTCGGTCTTCCTGCTGACGCTTCTTCCTTCGGAAAACCGAGTTTTGTCTGTTCCGCGCCTGTCTGTATCGCTCCACATTCAATCTCGTGCGGTGTTGCAGCATTCTCGCCCGTGCTGCATTATTCTCCTCTACTAACAGTTTGCATTCGCCGTCAAACCAGTCATTTATTCGGTTCGAGATTGCAGTACCTAGTGCCGCTGCAGCAGTACTACCTATGGCTGAACGGATGTCCCTCCAGCCATCTTCAAGAGAAGCTGCGCCAAGCTGCTCTTCCGTGGGTAGTGCAACTTCCAGCTGCTGCGCGTAGTCCTGGGCAACTCCGGCGTCCCGTAGTTGCTCAATGTTGGGTCGCGGCGTTCGACTTCAACGTGTGTTATGCACCGTCGAGAGTTTTGAGCGCATGCATACTGCAACTAGGTAGTGGTCCGAATCTATGTTCGCACTGCGGTACGTGCGGACGTTGATAATGTCGGAGAAGAATTTCCCGTCGATTAGAACGTGATCGATTTGATTTTCTGTGTGTTGGTCAGGTGATCTCCAGGTGGCTTTGTGGATATTCTTGCGAGGGAAAAAGGTACTTCGAACCTTCGAACTACCATACCCCGAGAGGCTGCAAAGTTCACGCATCGTTGGCCGTTGTCGTTCTATACGGCATGCAGGCTGTTTGGCCCGATTGCCGGTCTATACATTGCCTCCCGTCCTACCTGAGCGTTCATGTCACCGATGACGATTTTGACCTCCCGTTGCGAACAGCCGTCGTACACCTGCTCCAGCTGCGCATAGAACGCTTCTTTCTCGTCGTCGGGTCTCCCTTCGTGTGGGCAGTGCACGTTGATGATACTGTAATTGAAGAAACGGCCCTTAACCCTCAACTTGCACATCCTCGCGTTGATCGGCTGCCAACCAATCACGCGTTGGCGCATCTCACCCAGCACTACAAAGCCGGTTCCTAGCTCGTTGGTGGTGCCTCAGCTCTGGTAGAAAGTAGCCGCTCGATGCCCGCTTTTCCATACCTATTGTCCCGTCCAGCAAAGTTCCTGCAGTGCTACGACTTCGAAGTTGCGTGGTTGAAGTTCGTCATAGATTAACCTATCGCAACCCGGGAAGCCGAGCGATTTGCAGTTCCATGTTCCGAGTTTCCAATCGTAGTCTTTATTTCGTCGCGTAGGTCTGTGCCGATTGTTCCGATTCGTATTTCTTTCTTCAGTATTTGCAACTTTGTTTCAGGTTGTCAACTCACCATTTTGTAGTCCAAAAACCCATTAATGGGTATAAAAACACCCATTTCCGCTAAAAGTGCCCCTCCTCATTTAATGGGTAAATATGGTTTACTCATTAATGGGTAAATGGGGGATCTGGATGAGGATGAATGTTAGTCCCAAGCATCGTTGGTTATCTGTGTAATTCGAGCTGATCTGGCAATAACAGAGTAGCATCCGCAGGCAGTCAATCATGCTCATTTAGTCACACTAAGGTTGTTGTTACTCGCTGAGGTTGTTGTTACTCGCGGTGTTGCATGAGTACTTTCACCACATTGATCGATAAAGAAACAGTCATGCTGGATTGGCTCCTATCATCGGCCTCGCATGACTATGAATATAGTGATATATAGTGGACACCACTGAACTTTGCCAAAAAATAGCAAACCTACCATACCTACTGCGGTTGTAAATTGCAATGCTAATTTTTCTCAGAGTTGACAGTATCTACTGAAGGAAGTTCGGATCAAAGAACCCTGCGCACGTAAGTTTAAAAAAAACGAATTTGAATTTATTCTCTGCCTGCTACGACTACTGAAAGAAAAGTGAAAAAATACAATCGTTAACAATTTTTGTGTCCCGTTTTGTTTACTTTACGCGCTTACAGACAGGCGCTTTAAAATTGGTCCTAAATTGGTTTGCTAACTTCGCCTTCGTTGTAATTGGACGACCTTCATGGCAGAAATGTTTGTGCTTCAGTGGACTCTTGCTACACGTTTCTTCATGAATATGTACACGGATTTCATTTTTTGTTAAAAATAATATTATTTTGACGCACATTCGTTCCTACATCGTCTACTTAGTAAGTTTTAAACGCTCTTAGTCGATTTTGTTATTGTTTAAATATACTCTCTGCATTTGTTTCTACATCGCTCTCGTAAGTTAAGATTTGTAAATAATTTAACACTCACTGCACTAGATTCATCTGTGTTTTATTCTACTAGAATTAAGTTCCTACTTTGCGTAATCGTACCTTAGCTAACATTGTTAATTCAAAGTTCAGTCAAATCTAGATTTGTGGATTCTCTCCTTAAAACATTAAAACAGAGTTACAGCTTCGTACCTCTACGCTCTTGCGTGGGACGAGCGCGGAATAGAATAAATATGTACACGTTCGAGTGACGGTTAGTTAACACCTAAAGTAAGTACAATTAGTTGCCTATCTTAAATGTTTTCTTTTCTTCATTGTTTTAAGCGTACACTGTAGTAAATATACTGCGCTCCTTCGTAATAGTGAACATTTACGCTACATATGTATGTACCAACGTTGGATTCTTCTCATTTCGTTCGGAAAATCGTCAGTGGTTTATGCGTTAAGAGGACGGATTACTATTTTCAAACTATTTTTGTTTGTATTTTTTTCTAAACCTAGTTCAGTGTATTAAATGTATATTAGCTATTTCGGTTGCGGATTTGTGGGGCTTTCATTTTTTCTTCCATTCATAGCAATCTGTTGTCTTTTCTTGTGTGGAGTTTGAAGAAAGAACAAAAAGGTTAATATTTTTCCTACCAATTTAAGAGAACAGAAAAGAAAAAAATAAACAATCTTTGCGCCTTTGCAGTAGGCAAAATTTTATCACATTTCGAAAGAAAGTAAATTTCTACCTATAATCAAAGTAGCCCGCTGCGGCCGTAGAAGAAAAAGGAAATCCTACTCCGCTCACACTTCAATACTGTTCAAACTGCCGGAGGACATGTTTTCGGCCCGTCCTAGCCGGGCTGCCCGTTTGACCCCACTGGCCGCGGCTCGGATCGGCATTGGCGACCGATTGTGCTGCAGCAGTTCGGCACTGGGTCCTCGACCGACCCGAGGACTTCCAGGTACCGATCCGGACCCACGCCGTCCCCGTCGGATGGACGAATTGTTCCTGGAGCCCAGTACAATGCCAACCCCAGCGCCGACGGTGGTCGTAACCCCACAGTCCCCTTCCAGCATCATCTTCTGCTGCTGGTCCAACCCATTGACGTGCTGACCGTGCTGAAGGTTACGCATGCTCCGCTCCAGTGTCCTCCGGTGTGGCATCGATGCCAGCATCAGATGTTCCTGCCCGACGGCTGTCATCGGATTGGCACTGTTGATGATCGTCGTCGCCGTTGCCGCCGCCTGCTGCTGATGCTGCAGATGATGATGGTGATGAAACGGATGGTGTTGCGGATGCGGATGGTGATTGTTATTAGTAAGATAAGATCCATTGCAGGTCAGATTGGTACCGCCACCGCTGATGTCGTCTGCGAGCTCACCGCCGTCCCCTTCACCGCCGCCGCCGCCGCCACCACCAGAGCCAGAGCCGGCAGTGCCACTCGGAGCAGCGGATCTCGTCGGCTTGGTCGGCAGAAAGCGCAGCTCCATCACATTACGATTCTAGAACATTCACGCTGATTTCTAAGCTAGAATACAAATTGGCTCGCTCGAACAAAAAGTGGGAAAGGTAACGCTACACACAAACCAATAGAACGATCTAGTCTAGTGGGGGGATAGTCTACCGGTAGGCGCCTAATTTAGAAAAATGTGGAAACGAGTAACATACAGCTCTAAAAGGCCTACTGGGATTGCTGTGGTGAGAAAATTTAGTGCTAGGAAACGTCAAAACGATTAGCCAAAAGTGGGGGAAATGTGATTCAGTGTGTGTATGTGTGTGTGTGTGTGTGCACGTTCGGAAAATTTATTTTACAAATAGATGGTAGAGATAAAGAAACAGAAAAGAAGAACAAAGGAAGATGTAGAGGAAAATGTAATTACTACTGCATCTAGGTGCGTTTTGGGAATGGTAATAGGGGAGGTGAGGGACTACTAACTACTACTACTACGAATACTACTACTACTAACAGCACTACTCTAAGGGGTGTCGTTCCGACAGGACCAGCGATGGCGGTACGGTTTCTGAATTTTGAAAAAGAAATAATCTAGGACTTTTGTCGTTATAGGCAATCAAACAGAAGAGCAAACAAAAAATAGTTACACTGAAGCACGGTGACAATCAAGCTTCGGAATGATTTGGCTGCAATGCGATGGAGTGAAAGGATCGTTAACAATGCTCATCAATTATGGCGTTAAAGTTGAGTAATTCTGCAATCGATTTTGTTACAGCATCTCCCCGCTAATCCGACAAAATCATGGTTGGATGATCTTATAAAAAGTGCGGACCGCTAAAACTTCGTATCGGGTTTCAATCGAACAGGCAATAATCCAAATAGCAAATCGAATTTTTCTGTTGGATTCTGCTTTTAGTTTTAGGCAGTGCTTTTAGTTTTAGGCAATCCACGAACCAAGTTGACAATGTTTGAAAGATTTAGGACCCCCTCTTTCCGTTAAAAAAATAGCATGCACCATAGACAATTGACAAGCCCCTCGTTCCCTTAAACTTTCCAAGAGGCTTGTGGACAGTCCATTGAGTTGTCACCCAATGGCAGCCTTAGACCATGCCCACAATTTAGCTACAACCATTATAACACGACACCGCACCACCGACAAACCGACATAAAACGTGAACTTATCTTTTGCTCAAAAATCTCTAAAGGTTGATTCAAATGTACAGTGATCCGATCTGTCAAAACCATGGAATTTTTGTAATAAAGATAAACATATTTGCCTAGAATAGATCAGACACGAACCAACTCATAAATCTTGGATGCGTGTCCGTGACATTTGACATAAGCGTTTTTCACGAACACGAAGACAGATGTCAGTAGTGTACTATGAGCAGAAATTTCATGGTAATGTCGGTTTGTCGGTGCCAGGTCCGACAGTTGTCAAACTGGTTGGGAAATGGCAGCAGACGCTTTCGCTCAACAGCAGGTGTGCTCATTTGGCAACCAGATCCAACCCAATCCAACGTTGATATTTGGAGAAACGAAGAAAAGCATAGTGAAACGTCTCGTGGTCGTAGTCAATGTTTGTTTCGAGTGTTCCGTGCGCGTTTCGGCTAGAACTAAAACTCCTCTTCAGAAATTCGCGCATGTAGAAGATGAGGGGATGTGTCTTGACTTGCCCGAGTAGCACACTTCCACTACAATAAGTTGCAGCAACTTGTTTATGACTGAAATAAGTCGTATAGAAGTTTCCTCAACCGATTAAAGACAAGCGTGCTACTAGGGTGGCTTGATGTGTCGCAAGATTCGATTGTTGGAACATATCAAAATGTATGAGAAATTCAAAGAAATTGACACTGAAAACGCCAACCGGAACTACGAGCCCCAAGTGGCATAATAGGCAGGTGGCATTTTATCAACCAGCCCATCAGCAAGTTGTCGGATGTATAGTGCAAGTAAATGCTCGTCAGCAAAGTGGTGTCTCCCCGAAAGATAATACAGTCAACTCTCCACAACTCGATGCCTACTATCACGATACCGAGTTATAGAACCATAGCAAAAATAAACGGATGGCTACTGCGATAGCGATTTTGAATTGGATTGTTATTTTATAACTCGATCAAGGGGTAGGCCACTCCGCACACCAATCTTGGATCATATTTTTTGTCAGTGTGCCGCAGGTGTGCCGATTGTGCCGGTCATAGAGCAAGCTGCGATTGTTTGTAAAATATCCATTCCGACAACTCGGTATTTCTGACACCTTGAATGTTTTGGTTAGAAATCGCAAGGGTAAATTGGATTGAGCATGACGCTGGACGTGGTGGGTATGCCAAATTTTGGTGTTTTGTGTTCATAGGATAATAAAAGTCCTGGGTTTTAGGGTTTATAATGCCCTCAAAGGTAGACCAGAAACCTAGCCTCTCGAGATGCGAGAGCAACGGTCTATTAGCGGCCCGAAAGAGCTGGAACCGGTGGGGAACATTGCTGGAGACCGACTATAGAGGATGAGGAATAGACTTCTGTAGTTTGTTTTGTGTGAGTTGAACATTATTTGAATTAAGGGTACTAATGGGTTCTGATTAACTGCCTCTTTCTCTTAAGCCCACTCTAGAAGCTACATTTCGTATTTAGATCTATTAGTGAACTGCTGGTCCGAGTTCCTCTGGTATATTCAATTACAGTCAAACAGCACGTAATGTTGTGAACAACTTCAATGACAGTTGTCCAGCAGTGCTCCAATTTTATTTACAACAATCCAATTACTACGAGATTGTGCCGAAGGTGTGCCGTTGGATGTGTCCAAGCTGTGGCGAATCTAATTTCGGCACAATGTGCTGAGTCACTTACCCCCGTGAACTCGTTACAGTCAACTCTCCATACCTCGACTTGTGACCACTTTTTTCTATATGTCGGTTATCTCGGTCTCTTCAAACCGTCTAGTAGGCTACTTTTGTACTATATCTCGATCTCTTTATATCTCGATTGGCTCTTCAATGTCGAGAAATGGAGAGTTGACTGTAATTCTATGACTCGATGGCCCCTTCAATATCGAGTTGTAGAGAGATCACTGTATTTCGGAATTTACCCAATGTTGTCGGAGCTTATCTCAAGTTCTTGTAACTTCGTTGAGCTTTTTGAAGCTTCGCTGAAATGTATTTACTTTTGTAGAAATTGTTGAATCTGAAATTTTTGAATTTTAGCTGAAACATTTGAAACTTCGCTGACATTTTGGAACTTTCGCTGAAGTTCTCGGAGCTTATGTCAAGTTCTTCAAAGCTTGCAGAAGCTTCGCTAAATTTCTTTGGTGAAGGTATGAGAGGTTTGATGAACTTTTTGAAAGTTCATTTCAATTTATAAAACTTCTCCGAAGTGTATGGAATTTTATCAGAAGTTCTGTTTATTCGGTGAACTATTTTAAATTTCAGCGATGTTTTTGGAAAATTGCTGACATTCTTGGAACTTCGCTGAACTTTTTAAAGCTTTCCTGAAGTGTTTTGAACTTTGTTGAAATGATTGGAGCTTTGCTGACATCTTTGCATTTCCGCTGAAATTTTTGAAACTTTGCTAAAATAGCTGAATGTTTTGATGCTTATCGCAATTACTTTAACTTCTCCAAAGTTACCGGAACATCATCGAAGCTCTCGGAATTTCTTCAAAGTTCTCAGAGCTTATCTTAAGTGCTTGGAACTTCGCTGAATTGTTTTGGACTTTGCTGAAGGAGTTTCAGATAGCCTAGTCGATAGGGGGTTCGATTCCCGGTACGGTCTAGAACACCTCTCGGGTTGGAAATTGTCTCGACTTCCCTGGGCATAGAGTATCATTGTGCTTGCCACACAATATTCAAATTCATACAGCATAGAAAGCTCTGAATTTTAAACTGTGGAAGTGCATCTGGAACACTAAGCTAAGAGTCGAGAAGACGCTTAGAAAGCATAAAAAGCTTAGAAAAGAAGATGATGAAGTGTTTGGAAATTCGCTGAAAGTATTGGAACTTCTCTAGAATGTTTGAAGCGTCGCCAAAGTTCTCGGAAGTGCTCCAAAGCTCTCGGAATTGCTCCAAAGTTGTCGGAACTGCTTCAAAATGCTCGGAACTGCTCCAAAGTGCTTGAAACTTCTAAAAGGTTCTCGGAACTTCTCCAACGATCTCGGAACTTCTTCAAAGTACCCGGAACTTTTCCATAGTTGCCGGAACTTCTCCAAAGTTCTCGGAAGTTCTCCAAAGTTGTCGGAACTTCTCCAAAGTTGTCGGAAGTTCTCCAAAGATCTCGGAAACAGTACTAAAGTTGACTGAACTGCTCCAAAGTGATCGAAACTTGTCCAAAATACTCGGAACTTCTCCAAAGTTGTCGGAACTTTTCCAAAGTTCTTGGAACTTTTCCAAAGTTCTCGGAACTTCTCCAAAGTTCTTGGAACTTATCCAAAATTCTCGGAACTTCTCCAAAGTTCTCGGAACTTTCCTTAAGTTCTCGGAACTGCTTCAAAGTTCTCGCAACTTCTCCAAAGTTCTCGCAACTTCTCCAAAGTTCTCGGAACTTCTCCAAAGTTCTCGGAACTTCTTCAAAGTTCTCGGATCTTCTCCAAAGTCCTTGGAACTTCTAAAAAGTTCTCGGAACTGCTCCAAAATGCTTGGAACTGCTCCAAAATACTCGGAACTACTCCAAAATGCTCGGAACTGCTCCAAAATGCTCGGAACTACTTCAAAGTGCTTGAAACTTCTAAAAAGTTCTCGAAATGTCTTCAAAGATCTCGGAACTTCTCCAAAGTTCTCGAAACTTCCCCAAACTTCTCGGAACTTCTCCAAAGTTGTCGAAACTTCTCCAAAGTTGTCGGAACTTCTCCAAAGATCTCGGAAACGGTTCCAAAGTTGACTGATCTGCTCCAAAGTGTTCAAAACCTCTCCAAAATTCTCGGAACTTCTCCAAAGTTGTCGGAACTTTTCCAAAGTTCTTGGAACTTTTCCAAAGTTCTCGGGATTTCTCCAAAATTCTTGGAACTTTTCAAAAATTTTCGGAACTTCTCCAAAGTTCTCGGAAATTTCCTTAAGTTTTCGAAACTGCTTCAAAGTTCTCGGAACTTCTCCAAAGTTCTTGGAACTTCTCCAAAGTTGTCGGAATTTCTCCAAAGTTCTCGGAACTTCTCCAAAGTTGTCGGAATTTCTCCAAAGTTATCGGAACTTCTCCAAAGCTCTCGGAACTTCTTCAAAGCTCTCGGATCTTCTCCAAAGTTCTCGGAACTTCTCCAAAGTGCTTAAAACTTCTAAAAAGTTCTCGGAACTGCTCCGAAATGCTCGGAACTGCTCCAAAATGCTTGGAACTGCTCCAAAATGCTCGGAACTGCTCCGAAATGCTCGGAACTTCTCCAAAGTGCTTGAAACTTCTAAAAAGTTCTCGGAACTTCTTTAAAGATCTCGGAACTTCTTCAAAGTTCCCGGAATTTCTCCATAGTTCCCGGAACTTCTTCAAAGTTCTCGGAATTTCTCCAAAGTTGTCGGAACTTCTCCAAAGTTGTCGGAACTTCTCCAAAGATCTCGGAAACGGTTCCAAAGTTGTCGGAACTGCTCCAAAGTGCTCAAATTGGTTGTAACTGACCGTTTTGAGTAGAATCCATGCTGAGCCGTGGAGATGTAGTTTTTACAAGAGCTAAAGAGCGTCTCATTGATGATGATCTCGAATACTTTGGATCAGTAACATATTGATGTGATTCCTCTGTAGTTCTGGACATTCCTTTTATCACCTTTCTTGTGGACGGGCAACATATACGAAAATTTCCACGCCTCAGGAAATTGACCCTCCTGTAGTGACAGATTAAATAACTTCACCGTGAGCAACGACTCCGAACACAGCTTCAGAACGGACGCAGGAATGCCCGGCAGCTAACGAGAGTTTCAACCTTTGAAGAGCTAGATTGACGGTATGTTCAGTGATGTGAAACGGACGAAGCTCAAATGCATCTGTTGGAGAATCGCTTATAGCAATCGTGACTTGATTTGGTGAGGCCGAAGATTCATTGAACGAACTCATGAAATGTTGAGCAAAAAGGCGGCATTTCTCCGCTTCAGATTCACCGGTTTGCTCACCGAGATGAGAGTTTACAAACGACCAGAAACGCTTTGGATTTCTGCGAAGAGATGATTGCGTGCGGAAGACATATCGTCGATACAGGAATCTGTTGCATTTCCTATAGTCGTTACTTGTGCTGTTGAACTCCTGCTTCGTAATGTACGAACGATTTTAGCAGTATCTTCGTAGCGATTTAGCCCTATACCGTTTCAGTCGACGCAAGTGACCGTTAGACCACGGTGGCTTTGGTGCGGGGCGGGCAATAGGTACAAATTCAGCCATGATATCCCAAATATTTTGACTCAAATATTCAACGGCATCGTCAACACATCCAGCTTATTCTAATGGTCGCCAATCGATACCGGAAATAGCAGCACTAATCGCAACATAGTCGGCTCGACGGAAAGCCAGTGTACGATTATTTTCGGAACAATCCTCAAAAACGATTGGCGCTGGGAGGTTCATCAGGACGTCTAAATCAGGGTGGATTTATATATTTCTGGTAATAAAATTTTGCTAAGAAAGTCGTAGTACTTTACTAATTTACAATACTTGTTTTGGTATTTCTCATACTTAGAAATACCTAATACCATCTTTGACATAAAAGATGAGACGTAAACAAACATGTCATGTAATATTAATTGCTCCGAGACTGAAAAGTTCGTTGTTCGATGAAAAGTACGTTTGATTGAGCTATATTTCACGTCTGTTACGACTCAAATTTATTCGAAATTGTCACTCTCAGAGCACCTAAATTTTTCTAAGTGTGTATGCACAAATCAGGTGGTGTATACACTTGAGCTGGAATGACCAACATGTATACTAGCGCCACGTGGTTAAACAATTCTTAACTACTGTCCACCAGCCAAAAAGTTTTGCCCGCCTGAACAAGTTTGCCGAAGACAGTAACTTTAAAGCTGGTCAAGATCTCGAGCTATTGTATATGCGAGAGTGACACGTGTATGATGAAAAGATCTTGACTTCCTGAACAACTTTGCCCAAGACACTAACAATCTATAGAGATATTTTATATACAAGAATTTTACATGTTTACTAGCGCCTTGAAGTGAGAAAACTCTGAACTACTGTCCACTAGCTAAAAGGCCTTGACCTCCTGAAAAACTTAGCTGTAGACACTAATTTTCTATCCTGTCTATTTTATATGCAAGAATTTCACGTGTATACTAGCGCCGCTTAGTGATAAAATTCTGAACTATTGTGCATCGATTAATAGGATTTGACCTCCTGAAAAACTGTACCGCAGACAGTAACTTTCTCTCTGGTCAGGATCTCGAAATATTTTTTATGTAAGAATTGGACGTGTATACTAGTGCCGCGTAGTGAGAAAATACTGAACTGTTGTGCACCAACCAATAGGATTTGACCTCCTGAATAACTTTGTCCAATACAATATCTTTCTATCTGGTCAGTTTCTCGAGATGTATATACCCAGTAGTTTCAGATCGATCGGTAGCTCGGCAGCTAAATGGCAATGGAAAACTCACACTGTTATACAAAGTACAACGCGTGAGTGCTCGTGTTACAAAGGTTGGCGCGAGTAACGAAAGGTTAACGGCAAATAACTCACCAACACTAGCGGACCGTGAGTACTGTGCCACGTGGTATTTCCAGGAAAAAATCCCGAATATGAGAAAAGTCAAGATTGGATTCACTCAGTCTATTGGTACTATTTCGTGACTGAGTGAAATTTTCGTCAAACGCACCCCAACGAGTTGATTACGACTGTATAGAGGATGTGAAGCGCCATTGAAGCTAATCATTTCCCGTAGATAAAAGTAAAAGAACCAGAAAGACATACACCCTTCCTCTTCTGTGGAGGCTTTGCCGAATAAGCCACTTTAACCTCTGCAGATTCATCAAGGGGAACGAGGCAGATGCGGTCGAACCAACAACGTTTCGTTGTTTGGATTTAAAATGAAGCCGGAACAGTATGGTCCCCATGCGAAATGATCTGTGAAAATTGATGCGCATTGAATGTTGCAATGTTTACAAATCACATTCAATGGTTTGATTTTGATCCTTTCACTCCACCTGATATGATGAAGGTGAACACATAAACGATAAACAATCCACAATCGCTTGTCCTCAAAGGGAGAATGTAACTACATATAGACTAATTAGTTAGCTGCTCACTAGGTGTCAGTTTAGTAACAAATAACGCTTAACAAACACTCGCCTACTCATGAACATGTAACTTTAATTTGAACCGTTCGTTCTTGGAAATTGTACTTAGTTTTTATTTTTTCGATGGCATCTTTAGCAAAGAGGAATCTACACAGCAATCCGAAACAACGATCGACAAATTAAAGTACATCGTACGGAAAATCACGTGTTAGTATTGGTTTTCTTGGAAAATAATACAAAGAAGAAAAAGCCAAGCGACAGAATATCGACGCGATCGACAGAGCTAGCAGTCTGAGCCTACCTTGTCCCCATCCTGTGCCAGCGGGTTCGGCGTTATGTTCATCCGGGCACTGATCCCGTTGCGACTCTTGTGGTGATGCGATCGGGGACCCCCATTGCTAACCGATCCGGGGAATCCGTTCTGCTCGACTTGTATGTGCGATTTGGCGTCCGTTTCGTCTGCAAAACAAACAGATCTAACCTCTGATTTTCGACAAAAAGTATCGATAGGTACTCACCAACTCCCGGTCCCCGTTTCTTGCGACAAGCTACGCAACAGCAGCACAGCAGTACGATACCTCCCAGAACCAGTACGAAGCCACCGACGCCCATGTAGACATAGTTTGGTACTTCCCCGGTTCCGTCGCTCGCTTCCGAGGCGGCAATTACCGAAGGAACAATCGGTGCCACCGTCGGAGGTTTCAGTGTCTTCCCCGTCAGAATGGCGCTAAAATCGGACGCTGCGGCGGCGGTGAAGGACTGCAGCTTGAACTCGTAGGCCGTTCCCGGTTCCAGGTGGTCGATCTTGAAGTGTCGTGCCGTTGGTGTATCGACCGTAGCTTTGGAGTACTCGCCAGCCGTCGTGGCCGGACGGTAGTACGCGTAGAAGCCATCGATGGGGTGTGGAAGGTGCTGCGGGAACTGCCAGTGCAGAACGATCGCGTGCTGCGAGACGGGTTCAATGCGAGTCAAGGTTGGGGCGAGCAGGTGGTTCTTAACGCCGAGCTGGGATCCTCGTTGCAGGTGGAACTTGCCGGAAGCAGCACCCTCCTTGTTGTCGTTGTTGGAATACACGGCCACGATTCGGAAGCGGTAGAAGTGGTCCGACTTGAGCCCGTTCACCTCGTAGGACCGGGTGTACGGTGGGATGTCTTCGTTTTCGGTCATCCATTGGGTGCGGGCGATGTTCCGGGACGGGTCACCGAGCATCCGGTACTGGACCTTGAAGAACTGGATCGGAAGCCCATCTGACGAGGGGACCGACCAGCGCACCATAACCGATTCGTCCGACAGCCGGGTGATGTTCGGTCGGGACGGGGGGATCATGACCACTGTTGAATTAGAAAACAGGTGAACGTTATGAAAATTTCAATGTTGGGCTTGTTGTAGAAGAATGCGAAATACAAAGTAGGCATTGTGCCGTCAGAAAAAAAAAAATCAAAAAGATGCCACCCAAAAAATCGTCCAACAAGCCGAAAAAAACTCGCAAAAAGTCCAGGAAAGGCCGTAGGAAAAAGGTCGACAAAAATCTCCAGTTCTGCGACGACAAGCATTTCGATCCCAAATTGGCCGTCGTCACGGTGGAACACTGCCTGCGGTGTCCCATCTACCGGGAGATGGCGGAGAAGATCTTCGCGGATATTTCCGACACCTTTCCCGATCACAAGTTCAAGCTCATCCGGAACGGCTTCGATCGCTTGGAAGCCCGGGAGGGATCCTTTGAATTGTCCCTGGCGAAAAACTGCCGATCCCCGGCTCAACTGCTCTGGAGTGGCATCGAACGGGGACCTCCACGGCGAGAGAAATTTCCCCTGGACCTAACCTCAATTATCGAACGCGTGGATAAGGAACTCAACTCGGAACAAAATATACTAGCATTCCTTACAAAATAGTACTTACGGTGTTTGTGTTTCTTTCCGCCCTTGGGCCTTTTCCCGTTGTGCTCGTTTCCTTTGGGTCCGGTGGGAAACGATCCGAGCGGAACCGTCTCCATTCCTCCGGGAATCTGCTTCGGGTTGACCTGCAGCAGGTTGCTTTCGCTTACTTCCCCGACTTCGTTCTTCGCAAAGCACTGCACAATTCCGGCGTGTTTCTTCTCCACTGACTTGATGAACAGCTTCGATCCGTTGGATTTGATCAACCGATCCCACTTGGTGTAGTCGCCGTTGATCATCCAGTAGATTTCCGGCACCGGGGAACCCTTGGCGATGCACTCCAGCTCGAGACTTTCGCTTTCGTTCGTCAGCGTTGAGCGAGGAGGCTCAACGATCTTCGGTGCTTCCAGGACGGTCAGTTTGATGGTGTGGAGCAGTGAGGGCTCGACACCGTTTTCCAGACGGCATACGTACTCGCCTTGGTCTTCGGATGTCACGACGGTGAGCTGAAGACCGTAGGGTAGAACTTTGGAGTGATCGCTGATGGGAAGACCGTCCCGCCGGAACCAGGAAGTCCGAGGGATTGGATTTGCCACACCAGGACATTCGAGAAGGGCGGTGGCTCCGGGGGAAACAGATACGTTTTGTGGCTTGTAGATCGCTTTCGGCGGCGATCGAGGCGTGTACTCGACGAGGATTGTGGTTTTCTGCGGCATTTTGAGCTCGTTGCCGGTGATGGAGTTGATGGCCGAGCACCGGTAGGTTCCCGAGTCCTGTGGCGTTATTTGGGACAGGATCAAGCCACCGGTCGGGAGCTGTGGTACGTTCGTTGAGATGGCCACTTCGTCCCTGTTGAGGAAAAGCGAATTAGTTTGAAACTATGGATGTAAAATTTCTTGGAAAACTTACTTGTAGTAACTCCATATGGCTGGAGGATTGGAAACGACGTCACCGCACTTGATGATAATACTGTTTCCAGGTGAGATTTTCAGATGTTGCTGCTGGATCGGGGATAGTACCCTCCTCATGACCGTCGGAACTCGATCGGTTCGTGCATTGTGGCTATCACTTATACTACTGCTGCTTCGCAGGGATCCATAGTTGCCGAAACTGCTTCCGCTACTGCTGCTGCTGCTACCACCGCTAATACTGGATTCCAGGTTGATCGAGGCCAGCGTGAGCCTCGCAGGGATCGACGCGATCGCCGAAGCACCGAACCACGCTACGCACTGATACTCGCCGATCGTCTTCGAGTTGACGTACACGTGAAGCTTCGAGTTTCCTTCGATGGTTGTCACATTGTGACCCTAGCAGAAATTGAAACAAAATTAGCTAACGGACCGTATTCTATTCCACAATACAAACTTACATTCTTGTTCAAGTAAACATAATCATCTCGACTACCGGCACTGCCCTGCGGTCGAAACCTCCACTCCAACCGCTCCGGAATCAGATTCAGTTCGCACTCAAATAGCACCTCATCCCCGGCCGGCGCCGTCGTCGATTCCGGTGAACGGATCATGTACACTCCTAAACTCTTTGTACTACCACTACCACTACTGCTACTACTGCCGCTTCCGGCGCCAGGCAAGGAAGAAGAATGATGTGAAGAGTGCGGCATGGCTCTGACCACTGCCAGCAGCGGACAACTTAACACTAGGGCTATGAGCAACAAGGAACAATGGCCGGCCATCACGGTCTCAGTAGGCCTTCGTCGGAAGTTGTGTCTTCGATGGGGCACCGTCGCTACGGCGGCAGCGTGACTTGCTTTGTGCGGCATTGCGCTCGGTTCACTGAGACGGTCTTCGATACTCGTTCCGAACATTTTGGATCATTACCTGGAAGGAAGAAGAAAAAGAAGAAAACAAGTCCTTGTTAAATCTCGATTAAAGCCAACTACAAGCAACATTCCTTGTGGAATTCCATCATCATTTTGCGATCAACACACGCAACAGTGGGTACTTAATCAAGTCACGCAAATCCCTCGGACACGCCACTTGATTCACCCGGCTATAGATAATCTGCCCATGCGAGCCCCACCCCCCATATCTATTCCAACACAGACCAAGTAGGCCGCGCTGAATCAAAACATGTCGCCTGGCCTGCCTTTCTTGTGCTTATTCTGCGATCGATCGCAGCTCTAGCCATATAGCCTGTGCCTGCTACGATCCACCGTAGCCAGCTCATGCAAGGTCTGTTTATTGACAGAAGAAATTCCTTTCGGGCATCTTGCGGCAACAGGTACCTCCTACCTGGCTTTTGGTCGGAGCTGGCAGTAGGATTTCAAAGGATTTTCAGTAAGCTGTGCGACGCGGTGCGGTGGCTAGAACTTGTCAAAACTGTGCGCGGACTGCACGAGGCAACTTCGGAGTCGGAGAAGACAAGCAGATGAAAATGATTTAAACATACACCATAATATGCTAATTATAACGACGGCCGGGCATGGAAGTTGGTGAAGTCGTCGGCTCGGACTGGTAGATAATACAATAATAAAAATACACACTCTAAGGCACTATAGGGACTAGGCAGGAAGGTAGCCGGGGAAACGGAAAAATGATAATCAGAAACATGATCATACCGCGGCAGTCGGCGGTCGGCAAAATAGACAGAGAGATCATGCGTGCTGTGCGTGAGGAGTGGCGGAGTAGTGGTGGGTGAGGGCAGCCTAGTAGTGACTTCTCGGTCGGGAGGAACTTGTTTATGGTAATTCGGACGTTTAGCACACGCTCTTCTTGGTACATGATGCCACAGATCGAGAAGAGGTTAGGCTCGTGATAAATCGAGTGGAATTATGATGATCTGGTAGTAGTTCCAAACATAGGCACCTGAAAGGTGTTTCTATTCTTGGGATTATTGCGCGGATTTTTTGGCATGGTGAAGGAAGACTGTTAATTATTTATAAGTCATATATGTCGTAAAAGGCAGTGTGAGAGGGTATAAGGGGTCATCCACAAATTATGTGTTTTGTGTTAATATTTATTACAGTATCTTATAATGGGGGGATAGGGGTTTTACATTATCTTACATAAACTTCAATAGTTAGAAGAAAATTATTTGATCGAAACCGTTTTTATACAAACTAAATTTTGAAGCAAAGAATGCCAAAAATTATGAGAAAAAAAATCTTTTAGTTTTCCTTACGCACGCTCTTCTAAGTTGCAAATTTTTTTGCAACTAATTTTGCGCACGCTTTTGATTATTGCCTTGTCTCTCGTCTACCGACCGAAAGCTTGAAAAATTATGACAGTCATATTTTATAACCCACTTGATCAGACAGTTTTAGTCATACGTATGGGCATTAGACTGATGCAAAATTTGACTTTTCCGCTCCACAGTGCTTAAATGGTTTCAAATCGGGTCCTGATAAGCCTTCCAAAATTACAACTCATTTGGTTAGAAACAGACTTCGCACAAGCCATTTGAAGTTTACATGTAAATTACTATGGGAAATCTCAACTTTTTGTTCATTGCCTTCTAGTCTTTTTCCATATTGAGCTGCAAAACAGTTCGATAGCTATTCTTATAGAAAATTTTCTCAGCTACATCTTTGCTGAAGATCGTTTCTATGTAAAACGAGACAGGAAAAAGTTATTAATTATTTAAGAGATTAGTAAACTTATGACATGATCAAGCAGCTGCTCTGCAGGCAACACTGTATGTTGCAGTCTGACATAGTAGCCATGATTTTTGTGTCCTATTCAACGCCCCAGAAACACCAATGTTGCCTGCTGAGCAGTTGATTGAGCATGATCATAAGACATCAGCGCATTGAACCATTGATAACTTTCGATCCTTGCATTTGATCAAAAAGTGGTCTTGAGCAAAGTTGTAGCTGGGAAAATTTCCTATAAGCACAGTGGAAAGCTTTTGAAGCAGACCGATATGGTGAATTATTAGATCGACATGAACTAAAATCTTGGTTTTCCCATAGTATGTCCCATACAAACTTCAAATGGTTTGTGCCATCTCAGTTTCTCACCAAATGGGTTCAAATTTTGAGAGGTTAGTCAGGATCCGATTTGGAATCGTTTAAGTATTGTGGAGCGAAAATTTCAAATTTTGCATCACTCTAATGGGCATCCGTATACAGTTAAGGGCCACCGTGACGTTTGTGAAATGAACAAGTATTTGTGCAGAACATGGGGTAAATTATAAGTATTAGTGCAAGAAAACCTTTGAATTTACTCAAAAGTTCTGCACTAATACTTGTGCAATTCACAAACGTCAGATAAGTCAGATGCGGATTTGTCACGTTGCGGCAAAATGACAGCCAAATCTATTGTCTAACTGCCAAATTAACGTCAACGCAAAGGAAGTTTTTCAAAATTGCAAGAGAAAATTGTATGCAACTCGTTGCCAAACTCAATTGTTTCAGCGCTCGTCGTTAATCGTGCTGTTACTTGTTGCTCAAATAACATGAAATTCTGAATAAATCACAGTGTTGCCAAATTTAAGTTTAATTTTCCAACTTAAAACTTAAAGGGGATTTTGTGTGGATATATTTGAATTGATAGCACTATCGTGCTCCTCAGTCATCATATTTAGATTTCTTGTAAAATTTTATCATTAAAACACCCAATAATGTTAATTGTAGGTCTATTCGTTCCGGAGATATTGATAAAAGAAGGTAGTGCTTTCTTGAAATTCATGAAAATTAGATAATACCCCAAGGGGTAGGTCACTCCGCACACCAATCTTGGGCCATCTTTTTTGTCAGTATGCCACAAGTGTGAAGCGGGTGTGCCGATTGTGCCGCTCATAGAGCTAGCTGCGATTGTTTGTAAAATACCCATCCTGGTAACCCGGTATTTCTCACACCGTGAATGTTATGGTTTGAAATCGCAAGGATAAATCGGATTGAGGATGACGCGGGAAGTGGCGGGTGTGCGAAATATTGGTGTTTTGTGTTTTTGAGGTTGTTGACAGCGAAGCCACGCGTTGCACCACTTGACAACTTGAAGAAAGGAAACAAGCGGCTCTCCACTGCACGCCTAGAACTGTCGTTGTCGTTAGCCTTGTTGTTAGCTCACCTTTTCCTAAAGGTCATGCACAATATTGGCATCGAAGCGAAATGTTTATTTTGGAAAGATTCAACCATCGTGAAGTGTTGGATTTCTTCGTCATCGTTCAGATGGAAGCTGTTTGTTGCGAATAAGGTTACGGAGATTCAGCATATTACGCTTGGAACCAGCAAACAGCAGCCCGCAGTGAGGATCTTCTACTTTATCCTCTCACAAACATCGCACACAGTGTCCGAATTTTGCGAAATATTCGGCTCGAAGAACCAAAATGTTCGCGCCCGTCGCGTTCAAAATATTTCCGATACAGGAAATTTTTTACAAATATTTAAATAAAAAATACTATTACAACTTTATTCAGACAAAGGACGACGTGTTTACTCCGCGACGGTTTTTTTTTTGTACTGATATTTTTCTACTACTCATTCTACGTATCTATGTGCCATACAGCTGATCGGTAACGATGGGTCGTCAGCTGGGGCCTGACTGGCGGCCATGTTCTGATGCTATCATCTGCTCTTGTTTTTCTGCTTATAACACGATTTTCCGTCCCTTTCCACCATATACACGTCAGGCGGGCCGTATTTAAATAAGGTGTTCTGTCACTTCGTTTGTGGTCAAACAGCACGTAATGTTGTGAACAATTTCAATGACAGTTGTCCAGCAGTGCTCCCATTTTATTTACAACAATCCAATGCCTACGAGATTGTGCCGAAGGTATGCCGAAGATGTGCTGATGGATGTGCCCAAACTGTGTCAAATCTAAGTTTCGGCACAATGTGCTGAGTGACTTACCCTTGCAATACCCTCAAATTAATTCCACTTAATTAATGGTGTTATCCATGACAGATACGTATTTCGACTAAATGTGCAGTGTTATTCCCACCTGAGAGGGAAAAGCGGAATTAATTGTATACTTGTTCTTCTTGTCATGAAAATTTGTGCCATTGAAATCAAATCAAAACATGTGTACCGAAATAGCCTGTTTTGCTTTGAGCGTGTAGTGATTGCTTGACATTGTTCAGTGTGCAGTGAGAAACTGTACTTTTCTGTTTGGTATTTTATTATGCCACTAGATGTTTTGATAAAACCTTGATTAATGGTATCTTTCAATATTGATTTGAGTGTATTTTGAATGAATTAAAAAGACACATTGAATGAAATTGCTGGAAACGACAGTTTGTCATAAATTACTTTACGCTAGATTTCAATTCCGCCTTGTGTATTCTTGTTCAGTTGTAAGAACAGCATCATCAAACTGCTTGGCTCCCAATGACAGTTTGTGACAGCTTGAATCTGGCTCCTTTTGACGTTCATATTTTTCGAGTCTGCTTGTCCCTCCCAGATTCCCACTAAAGAGTTATCAAAATATAACTTTCTATCTGTAATTTTGACATTTCTACCTAGGGGATGAGTCAAGGGGTAATGCACACTGTGCCGAAACACTGTTTGGCACGTTAGGGCACACTTTGACAAGTAGGACACAAACAATATAATATAAAACGGCATCACTGTTGATTGTTGACGTTTAGCCAATCGTTTCCTACTCGGTAAAATACTTTGTTATCCGGTTTCGTGGATCGTTCGAAAATAATCTCTAAGTATTCTTTGAACCGTGAATCACTTCAAATCTAGAAAAACTCAGTCCGTCTTTTCCGATTCACTGCAAAAATTCCAGCAGCTCGTGTTTTCATCATCTATTCGGGCTTCACTTCAATCAAGTTCTATCAAGTGGCCGGTTGAGAGTGTGTTGTCAATACGGTAGTCAAGACGGCTGAAACGGGTTACCTCCAGCAACTATTGGTCAAACGTCTGGAGGA